TTCCACCATTCCACCTACCCAGCACGAAACCGGTGTACAAGAAGCACCCACCTATGCAACAAATCCTACACAATTGGCGCGATGCCCACACCACATGGCAACCTGATACACCACCACCATGTACATGCTCACCATTACAGTCACAAGTACCCCAGGAGCACATTTTCCACAATCACATTGCTATCCAACTTGCAGAACTACAACCACAACACCAGTTTTTGGCATACTCTGGCAAAAGCAATTGCCTTCAGAAGCCCACACAGTTGGCGTCACAATTATGCCGAGCCATACGCACATGGCACCGACACTATGGACTACCTTACAACCATCAAACTGCAAAGCAGTTTGTATCAGAACAAATACCACAACACAATTCACACTGCATGCAAAACAACATACTACAGGTCAAGATGATCAAGCAAGTCCAACACAAAATACCAACGGGCATCATCCATTGCGAAGATCACTTCCCGAACCGACTCACGTGGTACTGCCCAGCACTATACCACACTGCCATACACAACACTTTTTTAGACAAAGAGATTTTTCGGATGTCGCAGCGCCAACCTCTACAACCCCACTTCGATGTCTACACAGACATCCGCAGTCTTCTACCAGCTTACACATGGGCGTTTCCACAGTGGGGACGCATCCCACGTGCCTACATTTTACCGAAAAGAAAGAAGCAATTCACAAAAGGACGTCCTATAGTGGCGTTCATCGACACCATGAGCAGGAAATTATGGGAAGCCTTAGCAGACGTACTGCAGCTGATGACCCTTCAAGCATGCCCAAACTCCTTTCACCAAGGAGATGGGATAACCCAGCTCAAACAAACAGCGCTCTTTTTGCATCAGCGCAGAAAACTACACGATTCAACAGATTACATCCTGTACAATCAGGATTTAGCTGGATTCTTTACATCGGTCGATCAAAGCCGGTTTCTTTCAGCATACAGCATCATGGTTCGATGGTAAAGAGAGAAGAACCCACTGCACTCTTCCAAATTCTTCATTGACCACTCACAGAAAGACCCCACACATCGAGTTCACAGAGGTAAAAGCAAACAAAAGCAGCAGGAAGCCTCCTCCGGCAACAAACTTTGCATACAATTACAACACGTACCACAACTCATCATTGCAGTGCTCAGGCTCAACTATTTCACTGTCGGTACATCACTCATTGAGCAATTTCGTGGAGCACCTATGGGCTCGCCCTGCAGCCCAGCTTTATGCAACATCGTGGTTGCTGTAGAAGAGCAGTGTTGGCACCACACATACAAGCAACTTTTCACGAACCACAAGCACTTTCCAGACCACAACAAGCAGGATCAAGCTTACTTTTTTGCTACCAGATACGTCGACAACCGCGTCCTTCTATTGCCTGCACAGCTGACCCGACTGCCTCCTTTTGCGCAGCTTACTGACGCATCTTTCTACAAACCACCGGTTCAGCTTGAAACTGAACCGGCCAACATTTTCCTGGGTTTCGCCATAAACCCTCAGCACAGCAGCCTTACGCATCACTGCACTTTACACAAGGCGGATATTTTACACCCACAGTCGGCGACCTCTGTTGCAACACTTCGTAGCAGCTTTCAGGCCCGCACACGCATGGTACGCAGAGTGACAACACCATGCAGCGAGGCCACATCAGCCATTCGAGCCATGCGCGATCTGTACATCGCTGCCGGCTATACTGATCAACAGCTGTAAGCAAAAACACTGTGCCAAATTGCAGTGCGTGCATTCAGAGCCATGCAACTTTGCAACATGTGAGACGCCTTGTACCAATACAGTGTTTCCCGCAGCCATTTACAGGGACTAACTGAGGCATCATCATGTATAAAAGTGCCATGACTGGCAGATTGCAGCCGAGCCACAAAGCGCTGAGCGGCCGTCCTCGGCCATTCATCTCCAAGCATAGCAGACGCCGCAACGAGCAGCCTGCGGTTGGCAGCCACACTCAACAGCCGGCGCCTTTACGCTCTCAGTTCCTACGTGTCGCAGAAGACGAAGATTTCCAAGATTACCAAGAGCAATACCAAGATCCGCAAGAACAACAGGACGCAGCAGTGGCTGCACCGGCGACTCCACCATTTCCACCTCCGCCGCATTCTGGTCCGGATTCATCGGCTGAGATTATTGAGTTACTAACACAGTTTCACAATTCGTTGCTTGAATCCAATGCCAAGCTGGAACGCTTGATACAGCAGGCCACAACGGTGTTGACTACTCAACACGAAGCCACCACTGCCATTATGGCATCATGCAAACAGCAACTTGATATTCTCGAGAGCCTTATGAGGCAAAACACACCAGACTGGTCCTGAATGTGCTGCTGAATCCGCTGGTATAAAAAGAGCCAGGTAGTGCACACCTCTTGCATTTGACCATTTGTTGCTTGCAGATACGCACCATAACTTCGCCTTCTGAAGTTTTATGCCTCAGAGTGACACCTATTCGAATCCCGACATAGAGCCATGAGCGAAGCATCTTTTCCGACAAACACAGCGACTACAGCTTCGCCACCCATCGATGAGGCACGACGTGAAGCTCTCTCTGAGGCCATCATGGAGATTTTGACACAGCATCGGGACTATGATTCGGAAACTGGAAGCGAACCTTCCACATTCAGTGACGGGGCTCTACGCGACCAATTAGCCGAGTTTATTCTTCAAACAACCCGGCAGATCACAGAGCTAAAGCAACGAGTGGAACGACTCGAAGCTTCGCAGCAATAGGTGATCAACCCTGTTCATACCGTCATCGGGCGCTTTGCAGCGGACGGTGAAAACAATGATAGTCGTTTTTGCCAATTGTTACAGTCAGTGCACTCACTTCACATATGTTTGTTATGCAGCGATTGATGCACTCTTTCCCGCAGCATTTTGAAAAACAACCAGTTGTGTTAGCACCATGGAACAACGCACCAGATCGCGATCTCCGACGGCATCACAATGGAGATGGCATTGGGCCACCAACGGCTCTTCATGGTGGCGAGAGTACTTTATCGCATCTCAAGAGTGGATACGAAAGCATTCGCAGCAACCTGATCAGCGTCCGACATCAACGACTCCTACCCAAAAGGAGACAGTATCTACTACATCAACTCCTACATCCAACAAGCGAAAGCGATCAAGAACTCCGTGAGCAGCATAGCTGAGTTGACAATTAGATGCATATTTGCTGCCCCCGGTAGCCAACAATCACACAGCAAAGCTGTGCTGCGAACTCCATCACATCTGATGAGGTTCAACATTAAGAGCATCATGTCGAAAGTTCATGCAGGTCTGCGCGGTTTATCAATTGATGTCTCTGTGTGCCTCTCTCTCTCTTCTGAAGATCTACGTTTGCACATGCCTCAATGCAGTTGTGACTCCGCAGCCATTTCTCTAACCTACAGTTGCTGAAACACATTAGGACAGTTTTGCACACAAATGGACGAGGATGACGACAGCAGCCTATGGGGATCCGAAGAGATTGATACCTTCTTGAGGAAGGACGACACCACCAGATCCTCCCATGCAGTCAGCCACACACACAAGCAAAAGACAAAGCACACAACGAGGACAAAAAAGAAGAAAGACAACAAAGACAAAAAGGACAAAACAGTCAAGAAAACAAAGAAAACACGCAACATCTCACCACCATCCCAATCCACAACACAGCAACGACACCAACATCCACATACTACAAGACGAAAGAGGACACGCTCTTCGCATTCAACATCATCAGCGTCACCTACGGCAACGTCACACATGGCTGAGGACCCACACCGGTCTCCATCTCGAGATCCTTGGTCTTCTGACTCGATTGCACCTTACGATATTGTGCATCCTACTATTCAGCACAAGCGGTCCAAAACCGCTTGTGCAAAAATGCTGGTACGTGCAGGATTCAGGTGTCGCTGCCATTTTAAGATCATGAGTGACTGTCCCAACAGACTCGCTGTTGGACCCTAATTCTCAGGACGGATTAGGGCTGCAAGATCCGCTAAGCGTGACAAAAAAGCCTGCGCATGCGAGTGTCAGGACGACACCGCTTTGTTGTTTTGCCAGAGCACACATCATGTCCATGTTGATTTGCATTCCTTGTTCAAGCTTTTGTCGGTTGGTAGCAGCAACAATATGACAAAGCGAAAGGCTACCGAGGCCGGCCTTCCATGGTACTCCATGGCAGGACAATGTTTTCGGATGACTGTTGAAATTCCACCCGACCGCATCACCAGAGACAAGCACATGTTCTTACACGTGGTGCTTTGTCTGGGCGACAACGTTCTCCAAGCACGCAAGATCTTCTCCTACCACATCAAGGAGATCACCGGCAGAACTCCTAAAATCCCAGCTTTCTTCTTCGAACAAAACCGACGACGACTACATGATTGGGATTCAGTCACCACATTAGCCACGTTGATGCCGGTGCTTTTTGTTAGAACCTGTTCGGATCAGGAAACACGACAATCACCCGATCGCTATTGACAGCGAGAAAAGTGCGCCATTCATTCCTATTGCCGTGCATCAGACCTTTCACTCTACTTGAAGCATGTACGCCCCATTGGGGCTGTGTGTGTGTGAACCTCCCTAGCACATGGGAGCAGAGGGTCACTCCTACACTGTTTGCAATTTCGCTTTTCAACATAATCCGACATTGGACATTTACCAAATCAACTGTTGCAGGGGGATCAGGCTTCCAGTGACTGACCTGATCCAACGAAGCTAGGTCACTGGAAGGGAAGTGATTGAGGACGCTCAGTCATGTACCTGCACAATTTTCGGCAGCCCCCTGTGGTGCCAAGATTAGTCTGAGGACAGGCCCCCTGTGGTGTCCAGATTAGACAAACAATTTGTACGGTTGCCGCAATCTGACATACAGTTGCAACATGAACAACATTCCTCTTTTTGTCCTTTGCACTCGTACTCTTGGCCGAATCCATCAGTGTGTGCTCTGCTTTCGCCCAGCTTTACCTCTGAGCCACGGCCTCCCCTTCCCCTGTGCGAGGACATGCAGGATGCGGACTTTCAGCAGAGCATCGGCAGCTTCATCCGCCTGGTTTTGCACATGGAGGCTCCAAGCCTCCGGCTTTGGTGTGACAGGCCCATGGCGCTTGACGTGGTTCAGGGTCGCGAATCTCCCAACTGTGGGCTTCTTGTGGCCATGGCAGCCATCGCAGACCATCATGATGGCTACTTGGTGCGTCAGCTCTTCCCGCAATTCCAAGATGTTGAGGACCATGAGAATCCCCCCTTGAACCCATCGGGGTGCTACGTGGTCTCCCTGTTCCTGCACACAAAGAATTCGAACCTTCAGAGGTTCAAGAAGCATCACCCGAGCCTAAAAAGTGGTCAAGACAGGATCATTCTGGACACCACGTCAAGATCGGAAACGCTGACTAAAGGTTCCTGGCGCAGCATCGTGGTCGACGATCGACTTCCCATAGACAGCATGGGAAGGCTGGAAAACTGCCAGTTCTCCAAGAACAAGGTTTGGCCGTGCCTTCTTGAAAAGGCCTTTGCAAAGGTATGTGGAAGCTACGCCGACACCTCTTACGTCAAACTGGCCGATGCGCTGGTCATGTTGACAGGCCAAAGCACATTCCAAGTTGATCTCACAGAGCTGTTCCCAAAGGAGAAGCGACAGCTTTGGAAGGATTTGAGCGAGTATCAAAGATCAGGCATCTTGATGACGGCGGCCATCTACGATCTCTCGCCGTCATTCTTCGGCGACACAGGTTCCACGACTAGCACTGGCCTGCAGAGAAATCATGCCTACACCGTCCTGGAAACCATGTCAATCATCCTGGACTTGACTGGTGAAGTGTTGTCGCTGGTCAAGCTTCGCGATCCTCATGGCCGGACGAATTACACGGGGCCCTGGTGTCCGCGCTGCCCTAGGTGGACCCCCACGCTGAAGCAGAAGATACATGGATCTGACCGCGGTGTCTTTTGCATGACCTGGCAGGACTTCCTGGCAACTTTCCATGAAATAAATATCTGCAAGGTAGGTGACCGATTCTAGCTCTCGAATTCATGTTCCAGCTCAAATTCGGTGCCAGTCTCTTCAGAACTGTTTTGCGGGCTTGGCCCGCCAACTTTTCACAAACTCTCCATGTGGAGACTTTTTTTTGGCTGCGTGCCCGGCCGTGCGCTTTGCCGGGGCCACTTGGAATTCACGGAAGCAGCTGACAGTTGCAAACCGAAAAGCTCAGGCAGCATGGGAAAAAGAGATGCGATGCACACATGAGGGCGGTCGCAAGAGTCGCGCAGTCTATCGGCTTCATCCAGTGACTTCGCCGGCATGATGTGTCACTGCAGGTGCGAGCACGTCGACAAGGCTGTCGAACGACTTTCAAAACAGACTTTGGTGGCAGCACTCGTTCTGGCACATTCCCCCTGCGATGCCCCATGGGCAGGCCTGACAGAAGAAGCGGCTGTGGAGGAAGCATGGCATGGCTGGACGTTGCAGTGCACGCAGACAGCTGAGTTTCGTCTTCGGGGCTCCGACCAGGGACTGCTCATGATGTGCCGGATGCGTCGATTCCCAGGCCGGGTGGACGTTTCTTCCATCACCACGTGGCCTCGGGCACCAGCCAATGGGAGCCGGCCTTACCATAGAAAAGCACACTGCAACAGAGGTGGGCAATTTGAAGGCGCCTGTGTGTTGTGTTCAGCAAGGAGACGCCTCCGGAGCTGATAGACGTGCTGGGAGAGTGGCGCGAGGCGCGGGCAGGACAAATCTCAAACAGTGTCTTTCAGCCCACGGCTTCCGCACCACCAACCCCGATGCTTGGAGTAAGCAGCGATCCCAATAGAGTTCTCCCAGCCAGCAGGCAAGATGATGTCACTTTCTTTCGCTGCCCTTTGAAGACTCGCGAGCCTCTTCTCATTCCCCCTTCCCCTCTCGCCCTTCCCCTCCCGTCTCCCTTCCCTTCCCTTCCTCCACTCCCTTCCCACCACCATGCGCTCTGCCTGCGCCCAGCCAAAGCAAGTCAAGAACCCGGATCGGGTTGCCTTGGCTGAGAATCACTCGGCAATTTGGCAGGCTGGGGTCTCCCAGACATCTGACCACAAACAGGAACCTGTGAACCGATAAGTGATGGGTGCCATGCGCATGTACTCTGTGGTGTGTTAGCGTTGACTTTGTTTCCGTGAGATCTGTCCCGGAGTTTTGTCGTCTTTGGCTGTTGATGCCAAGGGCTGGTTGGGTGTCCTGTGGTCATCAGTGTTGCTTGGGTCGGTCGACCTGAGTGTGAAGCCTTGCCTGCCTTGTGTGAGTGGCGGAGTAGAAACAAGAAGCTGACAGCTGCAAGCCTTCGAAACTATCCTCGGAGTGTCTCGCAATTCGCAGTGTTACACTTCGCCTGTCGTTTGTTGCAGGTGGGAGATCCAGGTGCCAGGTACTGGCACAATGCCAAGCTGGAAACCAGCTGCTGGAAGGACCCGCGAAACTGCAGCAGCATACACGAGGCACCGCAACAGTCCGGACCCAGTCTGAGACCCCTGCGCTTGCAGAGCCCTTCGGCAGGCCGCGCTGGACGGAAACGTGGCCTACTTGCGCCTCTACGCCATGGCCAAGGGCTTCGTCGATGCCGTGAACCTGAAGGCTCCAACAAGAGGGTTAAGGGCACAGCGGGGTACCGCGGGGTATCGCGGGAGCATCGCAGGGCCGGTCAGCCCTCCACAACGCCGCAGCGGCCCAGGGCCCCAGGGCCCCAGGGCCCCAGCGCAAGGTCATCGCTTGCCAGAGCCATCCTTTCATGTGCGATCAAGGCTGGGCAGGACGAGGCCACTGCTCAGAGCCTGGGAGCAAGTACGTGGTAGAACGACTCAGCCGAATCGCCGGACATGATGCGCAAGCCGCGCAGAGAAGTGCAGGAAGGCGTCAGGCAGTTTGTTCTTCCTTGCCACTGATGCAGGTTATAGTTCACTTGCTTCACCAGAAGGCCAAGAGCTCATAGTTGGCTTCTTCAGCTATGGCCTGAGTCCGCGTCTTTCGGAGGCGGATGTGAACTTGCCAGACCAGGGCCTCTCCACGCCGTTACATTGGGCGTGCCGCTACGGCCACCAGACAGCGGTGCAGCTTCTCCTGCAGGCACCCCCAAGGAGGCTAAACGAGATCTTACCCTCAAAGCTTCAGGGAAAGGTGGATAATAGCAGCTAAGGCCAGTAAAGTTCCGGTTCGGTTGGGTTCGGTGGGTTCGCATGAAAGGCCAAGAGGCAGAGGCAGACACATTGTGCCGAAAGCACGTCAAGTCTTGCACCAGGCTGGCGCAAATGCGGACGGCTGCAACATGTCCGTGACTAAACGGAGAGCCTGGAAGCCTTGCGGGAGATCTTCCGCAGCCTCAGGTTGGGCGATACACCCTTGCATGAGGCTGCCGGCCTTGGTCAGGCACGTTCCCATGCCACGGCATGACTGGGCATCTCCCGCACGATGCGACGATTCTACTGTGAGGTCAGTGTTCTCCCTGTGTTGATTGCCGCATACGCCAATCCGTGGGCCCGCAATGCCGAGCTCGGGCCCCCGATGTTCCAGTGTCAGTGGTCCAAGCGAGAAGAAACAAGTCTGCTCAGCGAGACCTGTCGTTTGCTACAGGAAGCGCACAGCCACAGAAGTAGCTGGAGTACGCGGCTGGGCCCAGGCAGGACGGGCTTGAACGCGAATGCTGAAAGGCTGCATAATGTGGCAGCAGCTTGTTGCGTACATGGTGATAGCGCAAAAACTTATAGCGGACCTGCGCAAGCTCCGCTTTCTGTGGCCCTTTTACCATAATATCCCGCAAGATCCCACACAAAGAGAGCAAGGAGGTTCGATTGCATCAAGGGACACAGCTCATACAGGAAGAAGTTGTAAACACTGGCAGTTGCACGAAGGTAGGTACGCGAAGAGGGGAGAGCGGTAACAAACCGGAGTGCGTGAATGGGGACGATAGTCTAGCTGCACAGGCGCGTGCCATGTCCGGAAGCCCAGCAGATGCGGCCAAAATATCTTTGCCAGCTGCAGTTTTGATTGTTTCGATTGCTGGGATGTACGTCAAAGTTCAACTTCTAAGGTTGATGGACTACGAGCACATGTGGGGGGACCGTGAAGACTCAGCCGAGCACCCAGTCCTCAAGCATTGTCTCCCACATCTGCCAGCCAGTTCAGCCAGGACCCTCATCAGATGCAAGCCCTGCGACTCGGGGGTGCGTCAGATGCTCAGATTCTGCTGAAGAATCTATTCCAGCAGAAGAAAAAAGGGTGAGACGTCTCTTGCTTGACTGCGTTCTTCCAGTTGTCGGCCGCATGGTCTTGCGGGGGGCCTGGCACACCTGCCACAATTTGGATGCCAGCTTCTTTGTCTGTTGTGCCTCAACTTCGATGGAAAGAAGTCAAGCATCAAGAAGAATCGTTGGGATGCTCTCGGAGGCCAACCAACAGGAATCTCATGAACTGTTCCCGCCTGTTGCCCGTACTTTGGGCTCTCGAGAGGATTAGGTCCATAGGCACCCCGCCATGCCACTTGTCCGAAGCCCAGCCGATCCCAGCCCAGTCGCTTTTTTGAATTCGCATTTGCGATTTCAGGTTGGACTACGCCGGCATGAGATACAGGATGACGGAGTACGGCGTTTGTTGAGATGGAGGACACCTGGGATCCATCCAGAGGTGGTTTTACTTGTTCTTGCTGCTTGCCCAAGGATACTCATGATCTCGTGGGGCTCTCAGACTCAAGTTGGGAAGTTGGATCCGACAAGGTTGTCGACATCTTAGGATTTGCACTGGTCTTATGGCCGCGAGTTGCTTCGTGCTGGGCACGCTCTTCGGGTCGCTCAGGGAGGAGCACGGATGGGCACCGCAAGTGCTGGACTTCACGCTGCTCGGCAGCGGGGAAGTGCATGGCCTGCCTTTGTGCAATTCCAGTAGCCGCTGCGGAAACGCCGAGGAACTTTCTGGGCATCCTCGTGTTGCAACTCCATTGCAGATGGAGTCGCAGAGCTTTGCTTTCCGGTTGTCGGGCAGCGTGGTTTTGGCACTGTCGAAATCAAGGTTCATGGGCATGGCGGGCGCAGGATGCGTGACATTGAGGCTTACGTCTTCCGACGAGGAAGTGATGTGACAGATTGCGACGGCCCGCGCATGTTCGAATTGCTCGAAACTCCATCTGTGTTGACAGGACTCTGCGCTATCAGAGACTCAATTTCGCGTGTGGGCAAGCATGCCCTTCTGTGCCTGTGCTTCAAGCGAATGTCAGCCGTAGATGCCCATGTTGGACACTGTTTCTCCATGTGTTCCCGTGGCCTTCAACAAGCATGCTCCAAACTCAGGCTTTCGTCCATTCGTCAAAGTCATAGGGAAACTGCAGAATGAAAGCATTACTAGTCTAGTACGTGCTAGGCTATTACTAGTAGTACTAGTACAGACAAAGAAGTATTGCTACTACCACTCTGCCACTATTATCATCACGACCACCACGGCCGCGCGCGTTGTGTCCACCGCCACCGCCACCGCCACCACGACCACCGCCACCGCCACCACCAACACCAACACCACCAGACCACCACCACCACCAGACCACCACCACCACCACCAGACCACCACCACCACCAGACCACCACCACCACCAGACCACCACCACCACCAGACCACCACCACCACCACCAGACCACCACCACCACCAGCACCACCACCACCACCAGCACCACCACCACCACCAGCACCACCAGCACCACCAGCACCACCAGCACCACCAGCACCACCAGCACCACCAGCACCACCAGCACCAC